TAGGTAAATATTTATTTTTTAGAAACATTAAAAACTGTGGTCTAGTTATTTTAAGGTAGGTAGTCCGGAATACGAATGTTATGATTTTCAATTAGAGAAAATCCCTAAAAGGACTTCTCGATTTTCCGCCTTATAAAATGGTGCCAAATGGGCATGACTTCCAACCTCAAACAAAACAAAAATGTCAAAATCGAACCACAGAGATTTTACAAGGGTATACAGTTCTTAAGTGGGACACACTCTATAAATATACCATGTTTGTGTATTAACAAATATCTCTGAGCAGAGCTTAAAGCTGTATACTAAGAATATAGTTCTTAACATTTTTAAAAAAGAGCGACAATTTATTTGAAGATTTTATACCTCTTGACAAATGTATAAATAAAAGTTCTTCGTGCATTGGCAATAGGATTATGCAGTCTCATAGTTGTGCACTTGGGCAGAGAAAATTATATATACATTACATTTTTGTTCATTGTTCGGTACTTTGAATACTAATTTACAATTGTTCGATTTGCAGAAGTGAACTCATCTTGAAAATATTCAGCTTTTTGTATAGGCTAGTGTGTTAGTCTGTCATAATTATATAATATATTTACTCTTTGCTAATTTGCTTTTCTACAAGTTCCTTATGTAGAAAATAGATAAATAAAGCGAGAAATAAAACAGCATTGTAGATCACGTTCCTAGTTTTTTTTCAATAAATAATCATCATCATAGGTACAATTTTATTATCTATGGCAGGGCTTCTTAAAGTGTGGGTCGCGACCCCCAGAGGGGTCGCCAGACTACTGAAAGGGGCTCGCAAAGATCTGATACTTTACAATCATTATAAATAAAATTTTAAAATTAGTATACACACTACGTACAAATATAAATACAAATAAAAATCATACAAAATACTATTGTAGTTTTATTATAACTATTTTTTTAAAAAGTGGCAATGCAAAACTGTTATGTAGGGCCTATAAATGAAAATATGGAAGTAGCATTTAAAATAATAAATACAACGCACTCCTCGATTTTCAACTGACATTGACACTGATGTCCGGCCGCCGGCGTCAGCGTTTGCAAGATAACTTAGTGATTATAAGTACCCAGACGCCGCGTCGCCTTACGCTTACACACAATACGCTAGCATAATCAAGCTAGGCTAGGCGAATCGGCATATTATTTTTATAAAAGAATAATAAAAAAAATTAAATGAAAGCTTCTTTTTCGGCGTTTTTGTGATACGGTGCCTTTGTGCGCTGCACACTTTGAACACGCCATGCGTCGCCATGTTGTCATTGCACTGGTAAAGATTCTAGTGTAGTTATTTTTCTGTTTGTACTACAGTTTGGTCTCAGCTTTGTCTTCGTAGTGACATGTGTGTATTTACTGTGTAATTTTCAGTTGGTGTTTTTAATTATTACGTTAAAGTTCAACTACATTTTGTTTAATTATTGATTATTATTTAACCATCATGAATAAATGGCTAATTAAAATTCCAACTAATAAGTCTGCCACGCCGTCACAACCAAATTGCAGTGCTTCAAATCCGACTTCTAGCAAAACAAAAAAAAAAAGAAAATATGACGAATCACAACAATGAAGAACAACCAGTGTGTTTAATTTGAAAAGAAGTTTTGACTGCAGAAAGCATGAAACCGTCAAAACTGCAACGACATTTGAATAGTAAACATGCAACGTTATCAAAAAAGCCAATAGAATATTTTGAGCGTCTTTTGCAAACATCAAATAAAGAAAAGAACACTTTGGAGAAGTATGTTACTTTGAATGATAAATATCTATTGGCATCGTATGAAGTTTCGTATTTGATAGCAAAAACGAAAAAGATTTTTACTATTGGAGAGCAACTTTTACTACCTGCAGCTATAAGAATGTCTGAAATTGTTCATGGAAAATAGTATGCTGCTGAAATTAGTAAAATTCCATTATCAAATGACACTGTGTCCAAAAGAGTTTCAGATATTAGCAATGATCAATTTCAACAGCTTCTTATGAGGCTTAAAGACAGCTCAAAGTTTGCAATACAACTGGACGAGTAGACAGACATTTCAAAAATGGCACAGTTGTTACTTTTTGTAAGATATATTTATGAGGGAAGCATTCATGAAGATATACTGTTTTGTCGTCCTCTGGAAGGTCATACTCGTGGAAAAGATATATATAAAAAAGTAAATGAGCTTTTTGAAAAAGAAGGATTAAATTGGTAAAATTGTATTGGTGTGTGCACGGACGGAGCTGCAGCAATGGCCGGACAAGATCTTGGTTTTACAGCATTTGTTAAAGCTGGAAATGGTCATATTACATTTACACATCGTATGATTCACCGAGAGGCACTTGTTAAAAAAATTGCACCAGAATTAAACACTGTGTTTTTTGATGCAGTCAAAATCATTAACTGTATTAAGAGTCGGGCACTTAATAGTCGATTGTTTAAAAATTTGTGCATTGATAAGGATTCGGATTATACAAGTTTATTGCTACATGCTGAAGTTAGGTGGCTATCAAGAGGTCGAAGTTTGAAACGATTATTGAGTTTAAAAGATGAAGTTCTTATATTTCTAACAGAGCAAAATTCTAATTTGGCCGATTATTTTCACGATAATTTATGGTTTCTCAAGCTATGCTATTTGGCAGATATTTTTGATAAAATCAATGATATGAATTTATTAATGCAGGGAGTCTGCGTTAATATGTTTATGTTAAAAAATAAACTTGAGGCCTTTGTTAAACAAATTCTTATATGGAAGAACAGAGTGGACAGTGAACGTTGAAAATTTATATATATATATATATATATATATATATATATATATATATATATATATATATATATATATATATATATATATATATATATATATATATATATATATATATATATATTCTCACGTATTGATTCACGGATGGAAAAATGTGATGACACTATATTCCGGGATATCATCCGTTCGCTCGTTGAACTCCGACTGGAATCCTGCATCCGACTGGAATCCTGCAAATCTTGCATCCGACTGGAATCCTGCAGACGTTTCGCCAAAATCTCACTTGGCATCTTCAATGCTCGTGTTCGACCGATATCCCGTCAACGTTTCCAATTATATATATATATATATATATATATATATATATATATATATATATATATATATATATATATATATATATATATATATATATATATATATATATATATATATATATATATATATATATATATATATATATGTGAAATGAATGGGTACGTATTCTTTAATCCTTATTTTATTTACATTGTAAAATAGTGCGTTATTACATCTACATCTACGGTTAATATATATTTCATTATATGGAGGAGGGGGCCGTTTAAAATTTCCTAAGCTTGAAGGGGGTCGCTATATAAAAAAGTTTAAGAAGCCCTGATCTATGGTATTTCCAAAACATCCAAATTATTTACTTGTTCTAGAGGCGCATTATTAATATTTATGTTGACATTTCGTATTTGTTTACTTTTTGCTTAAATTGTATAAATTTTGTTTTATTTACATTAATTTTTAGTTGGTTGGTATACAACCAAGCCACATATCTCCTGACGTCACTGTTGACCTCTCCACTTTGAAAGCGGTATCATCAGCGACGGAAAAATACCTTTCTGTTAGGTTGGAAAGTTTTAAGTTTGTAGAAAATACAACAGTGGCCCCAAAAATGTACTCTGCGGTACTCCCGAGGAATTTGACAGTGTTTTATTATGTTTTACACTTAAAATGGGAGCAACACTGAATACATGTTGGAATTGCCTAATCACTTGGAGTTAAATCGACCGATAAATTTTTATCATATTTCCTTTGAAGTTAAATATGTCCTGATTTTTTTTAGATCTCAAAATGTTGTTAGTTTTTTACCTCTTCAAACCTTCTATTTCCGTTAGATCTTTCAATGGTGATCTCGTTTTCCAATCGACAAACCATACTAGTAAAGATGGTAGCAAAACTATCATTAGGTGATCAACAATTTCCTTTTGATTATATATTCCTCGATTATCTTCGATAATACCACTAATCTATGTCACATGGGTTTTCTGTTGATGGAAGTTGTTAATAAAACCACACTGGTTATTTGAAATTGTTGCCCGCACTTACTCACTGATGTCTATAATGCCGATTTTTTAGTTTTTTTTAATTCATTAGACGGATTCGGTGTGTATGAGTTTGTATTAAAATCTAGTAATAAATTTTTAATAATCTATTTTTATTAATTCTTTTTTATTTACTGTCATGTTGTCTTCTATAGTGGTTGATAATCGATTGTGATCCTTCTATCTTTTTTTCTTCTATCAGTATCTATCAGACAAAACATGTTATATGGTCATGAATTTTAAAATTATTTATTGTAATCAAATTTGTGTGGTTAGTTACCTTAACAAATTGATATTAAAATCCTTTTGGATACCTCAGAAGAATTTTCTCAAAGTCTCCTCAGACTCACGCACACTCATTTAATGAACCGCATTGCAGTTTGTTAGACCATATGACTTCTCTTTTTCTTTTAGTTAAGTTTCTGTTATTAAAAGTAAATCACACTCGTCTTTCATCAGAAAGCATTTTACATTGTCTAATTTGTTTTGTAGACTACAGACGTTCTTGTAAACAACTTTCAGTTTTCTTCAAAGCTTCTCTAGTTTTTTAGCTTCGTAGACTTCGCATCTTATATTGTTTCTGCAAACAAAGTTGATTTTTTTTTCTTTTTCATATAGTTTAACTGCCTTATATATTTCAAGATTTGTTCAAGTAATATCATCATTTTTATCCACAGAAGAATCTAGATTTTTGCTGTTCAGTTGTAAGCTCTTCCTAGTTTTTAACCAATTATTTTTCTATTATTTTCCTCTTACACTGAAATTTCTGTTACTTAGTTTTTATATTTCCAAAAGCTCGTCAGTCTATAGTACCTAGTACTACTATCTGTAGGCTTAAATTTTTAGAAAAAGGCGTTATACTTCTATTATACTTTTACAGATCCAACGCCAAGATGGTCGGCTTTGCGAGGATCTCCCGAACTGAGACCCTATAACAGCCTACCGAGAGGTCAGGACATTAACAATTATCCCACTTTAGCTTTGCACAGGGAGAATTTGAGAAACAATAACCCTGTGCGAGAAACGGGACGATCCCCGAATAGGAGAACCCAGTCTGAGGATGTGTACCAGGACCGAGACCTCCAAACTGTACCAGGTGAACACTTTTTGGGAGAAAACAGATCAAGTAAGTATGTTTTACTTTCAATATAAGCTTTTAGTTAAGTATTATTATGTTCAATTTAGGATTATGCAACAAACTGAGGGAGAAATAAAAAAGTATTCAAAAGCACAGTGGCACACAAGCAAATCACTTAATAAAATTGTAGAGCTATTCAAGTATGGCTTAAAAAATATATTTTCTTTGTGCTGTGTATTCTAATCTAATACTTTTGTAAAAGGTAAAAGATCAGATAATGTTTTGTTACTTAAATTTAATTAACAGTTTCGTAATTGATATTTTTATTATTTTTAATGAGCTGTTATTTAATTCTTCTTTTTCTGCCTACCTAATTTATGAATTATTTCTGTTATTTTATTACTTAATGTTTTCTGGTTACCAAGTCGATGTTCCCAACGACACCGCGCCAAACCATGACGTTACCAGAAAATCCGTTCGTGTAAATCCATTACTTCTACTGGCCGATAATAAAGAAAGCAGGGAAAGGAAAACATCACCCAAAAGAAAGACGTCAGCTTTGGAAAATGTCCAGAAAGAATCTGAAACCAAAATAGTAGACAAAGGTGGGTACTATTGCAGTAGTGCTAAATTGAGAGCAAAAGCGGTGATCTTTCACAATTTAAAAGGACATTTACATTGCGCAATCATCATCATCAAGATATCATGATTGTAGCCTACTTTTTACAAAATTTCTGAGTTCTTCCTGCGTAGGTTGTTGAATCGAATTTGCTGACGTTTCGTCAATCATCCTGTTGGCTTCTTCAGAGCTTAACTGAAGTTTAAACTAAGTAATTATTATGTAATAATTATTAAGATACTTTACTAAACTATTAGTAAATTTTTCAAAGAAACTTCCACCGGCTACTGTAATGCTTTTTACAAAACTTCTGGATCCCTCCTGCGCTGGTTTTTGCTTAGTCGAAATTGGCTGTTGGCTTCTTCAGAGCTTGACTGAAACTGACGCAGGAGGAATCCAGAAGTTTTGTAAAAAGCAAACTATTATTAGTATAATTTGATTATTTTCAGGTCTATTGTTATATAATATTATATATTTATATTATATAGGAGATAAAAGGACAGTTTATTTTAGGAAATATTTTTTCTTAATAAATTGGCCAAGTCGCATTGCATTGCCTTGAACAATTCATGGTATGGAAAAATATATTGGAGGATCCTTTTAAAAAATATATATTATAATTGTAAATAATAATGCAACGCCCGTCAAAACACTCGGCATGTGTTTCCCGTCAGATTAGTTAAAAAATGAACCACTAATCAGAAATTTGAAAACGTTTACATTATTTTGTTTTTTTCTATGTAAAATTAAAAAAAAAGGTTTCTCGTTGACCGCAAATGTGACCTGTGTGTTGACGAGGGTAAAACAAATAGCGAACGTAGTTAATAATTGATTAAACTTTCCAGAAGAGAGGCAAACTTTCACTAAGCACACAAAAGAAAAAAATATTCAAAAAAATTATTAAAAACCAAACACTCTCTCATAGCTGAGAACACAAAAAGATTTGCAATAAAAAATGTGTCCATGTGTGAGTCTGATTTAAACTCTAAACCCTGGAGTGCAAATTAATGACATATGCGTTGCACACGAACGTGGCGAATCAGAAAACCGACACCACAGCTGTAAACTTTGAAATGAACAAAGAACGCTTTATTTCAATTCAGGGCAACGACGCAAAAATTGGCAAAAATTACAGAAAAAATGATTCATTTATATCAATATTAACCAAAACTTGTAAACAAATATTGGCAACTCTAGTAAGCGGATCTCTACGTTGGTTATTCATTTTTGCGTGTTATCTTCAAGGCGCCACTCTTATCTACGCAATCGACCACTTAGTGTGTGTTTATTTCACAAAGAAAACAACATCGACAATCCACGGAAAGTTCCATTCCAAATCTACCAAACGAACATTTTTCGAAACTAATAACAATCTGTCGTGCACCGTATGCTATCTCTTATCTCCTAGGAATGTATACGACAGGAAAATATACTAACTGCCAAATGATCTCGTATATTTTAGTGAAAATCTTGTAGGATATACTTTAGGAAGCCAGAAACGGACTCATCAATTTTATTTTTTTGTAAATCTGAAGATAGGGTTTTAAAAATCTTTTCAATAACAAAAAATTTGAACAATTTATGGTGCCCATTCGTAACTTATTTGCTAAAGAGGAAACTAAATAGCTTTTGTTTTGAAACTTACCAGTTATACAGGGTATCGCTTAACTTATCCGCCACAGATCAACATCTGATATTGAAAATAGGATTTGCTCGGCAAATGTGGTGCCAAATATTGTTCGATTAGAAGGGTTAACTAAATTAAAATTATTTTTACAGTAATAATTTCAAAACGCGTGAAGATATTAAAATAATTAGGAAGTAGTTACTATAAAAGTATTCTTAGCACATTTTGTGTGTTGTTGTTTATAAGTCGATGTGGTGGAATATTCAAACACGTATATCTCGCAAACGTTTTAGTATAGAAGGTCAACCCAGTCTCAACTGTACGGGGTAAAATAAATATAAAAAGCATAATTCTACAGTAAGTATCAAAGCGCGGTTCTAGGAATTAGATTCAAACTAATATCAAATTCCGACGCTCAAATTTATAATTTTTGCTCCGTTTCAAGACTATTGTAGTTTTTGGAAAATTATGGAAACTATCACCCGTTGCTTTATGGACGAAACACTGTATATATAACAAATACGTAGTCCATAACGTGTATCTTCAGGGGCTTTAGGGCCTGATATTTACATTAAGAGCGAAAGAAAATAAAAATAGATAGTAATATTTGCACCTCAGTATATTCAGATATTAGGAGCTATTTACTCACATTACTTGGCGAACGCACCAATAGGTTTATAGATGGTCATGTAATTATCACTTTAAAATATTTTGATGCAGATAAAAATGATAAAATTTGTTTAGTTCAAATTGCACCAAATATGCACGTTTATGAATCTGAACCCTCGAAGAAATCTTTATGTTTCAGCTAAACGAAAAGCTGAACTTTTGCAGACAGTTCCTCGAAAAGCTGAGGAATTCTTTCCTGGCATACCATTTAAGATGGAATATAGAGAGTCCTTCGAAAATAAAAAGTTGAAAGCAGAGTTTTAAGAACATGAAGAAAATTTCACACATAAATAGAATTAACATCGCTTTCATTTCACACTTCATTTTATTTTCACTTAATTTTTGGGTTTCCGACTATATAGCCTTTTTCCGATAGTCAACAATCATACAATCGACAGAGAAGATTCTTTCCTTTCAAGTTCCGAACCCTTAAACGGTCATAATATATTTTATTTCTTATTAGATAGTTATACAACGGCGAAATAGTTGGAAAGAAAGTAAAATAAAATGAAAAACGAACAATGCCTGGAACTTTTTTCAAAATGACAGTGTTCAATGTTGATAATATATAAAAATCATCAAAATTAATTTTTATTTCAAAGACGGTGAGAGATAGGTATAGGGTTAGTTTCTTTCCTAGAATTTGAAAATGAAATAATATATAGGGCATGGTATTTAAAAAAACTCAATAAACCGTGCTTCTGTATGTTCCATCTAAAATAATATGCTGGCACTGGCCGGAAAAGTTCCGATTTCTGTTTAATTAAAGCACTGAACTATTAAAAGCTCTTCAAGGCCCAAGTTGCTTAAAAATGTATTAAATTATTTTTTATTTCGATAACGCTAAAACATGTGTATGGGGAAACCTGAATAAAACCCACTTTGTTTCTTGCGTAGAATCTGAAAATAAAATAATATGCCTGAGTTGCCGTTTAAACTAGTTAACTACAGAGAAGCGGCAACGCTGCATACTTGAAAATATTCTAGGCTATCCAATGTGTATCCACCCGATTACACGCACATAAGTAATCTTCATCAATTAGTATTGTAATGCAACGTATTATGATTCTTTCCATGACGTTGCTTTTATTCATTCCAAAGGTCCGATAACTACGAAAGCTTTATAAAAATGAATTTAAAGTAGGTTTATGTAGTATGTAGCTTTATTATTCACCTATATTTCTTAGAAAGATGCAAGCTTTTCCGGAACATGGCTTGCTTAAGTTGATAAATTGGATTTTCCTTTGACCCAAGCTCAGAAGTAATTTCAGCCTTTAATATGCTGAAAAATTACTATTGAACATTTTTATGTCAATATTTTCTGTAGTTACTTTCGCGAAACTTGTGACCTCGGCAATTGGGCTGCTATTTTGTCAGCTATTAATTGTTTTCGTATTAGTAATTAGTTTTTTCTCGGAATGTCTCTATTGAACAGAGTAAAAAATTTTGAAAAATTTTTTTCGAAACCCAAAAAAAAAAAAAATTCTCGGAAAGGGTATGTCCTATCTAACAAATTTGTTAACCAAAAAATGGTCGAGATTTGGAGCAGTCAGCCAACAATACAGTTGACTTGAAAATGTAGAATTGTTGTTTTTTGGAATTAAATATTACTTTGTAGGTCAACTAACGTAACGTATAGGTCTATTTGCTTCTTAATTATAGGGTGGTAATTCAAATGCAAACTATAAAAATATTAAACTTGTAATTTGTTTTCGGGAATTCACATATCTCAAATATTTATAAAACTTTTTTTACCAAAATATGGTCAATATTGACCTATTCTTTTTTTATTATTTAAATATGCATATTTTGGTATTATTAAATTTATTTACTAGTTTTTAAGTAAACCAACGGAATTAGTTCATTTTTTTATTGAAAAATAATGTTTATGTGTAAACTAAAATATAAACAAATTTATTCCGTCAAATGAAGAGACGTATTCTTTATTAGGTTGACCCTAGAAACAAAAAATACCTTGAATTATATGGAACTTTAATTACTATAATAATTATGAACATTAAGATGGTTCCCCGTCCTTATCTTTTGCTCAGCAGTTGCAGGTTGTTCTACTTAGATTAGATTAGATTAGAACAAATTCATTGCATTTGTGGTATTTCTAAAATATTTATTATCATTTCCACCACATAAGAGACAACGACCTCTTTTAGTTCCTTTCTCTCTTATTTCTCTTGCTGCACTTTCTATAGTTCCGGTCACCATGTTCGTAAAGCCCGGACCATCTTCTCCAATTTCTTTGCCCTTCCTTCAATATCTTGAAGAAATAGTTTTCTTCGATTAAAAAAAAAAATAAACTGCATCTGGAGAGAAAGAGTTGCAACTTTCGTCCATCATACAGGGTGCGCGAGATATTTGCAAAATAGTATTGGAAATCTCTATTACTGGTACAAATTTTTATATTTAGCAATGTTTACCATTACTTCGAAATTTACCATAAAATTACATTGATGAATTCTATGTTCTCTTTAAGTATTTAATTTTATTTAATTCTTATGCCGTAAACTGCTGAATTTATGAAAATTATTTTACCTGAAGTTTGCCAGGACGAAAATACGAGGGCTGCCTTTTATGTTTCGGGATTTTCTTAAATTAGTGCTGCCATCTGGCGACTAACGTTTTTATTGGGAAATTTGATATTTTGAGGTTAGGTTTACTCAGTTAGGTTTTGCCGAAAGAGTATTGTTTGTGTTTTTTGTGATAAGTTAAAATAATTGTGACCGTTAAAAATGGAACTTGGAAATGCTAAAAACATACTATCGCGGTGCTTCCAAATACGTCTATGATGGTGATGAATCATGGATCTATGCATATGAACCTGAAAGTAAGCAGTAGTGGACTGTGTGGGCCTTGAGACAAAGCCCACAAAAGTTGTGCGTGCGCGAAGCACCTTGAAACAAATGGTAGTCTGCTTTTTCAGGAAAACTGGCCACGTTGCAACTGTAAAAGAGACAATTCTGAATGCTATGCAACCATTTCTATGCCGAAGGTCTTCGAAGAAATTAGAAAAACTAACTGCCGACGACAAATCACTCACTACGACGACAATGCTAGCTCTCACCGATCAATGCAAACAAAGAACTTTTTGAGCATTAAAAACGTCGATCTGATGAATCATTAACCATACAGTCCTGATTTAGCACCTAATGATTTCTTTTTATTCCCATACATTAAGAATAAATTACGTGGGCAACGATTTTTGACATCAAAAGAAGCGATTGATGCGTTTAAAAAGCATGTTTTGGAGGTCGTTGTGCTAAAAGTGCTTTGATGATTGGTTTTATCGAATGCAAAACTGTATTGATCATCAGGGTGAATATTTTGAGAAACAACAAAATCATATTTGTTGGTAGCTTATAGTTTTTTATTACAAACCCCGAAATATAAAAGGTAGCCCTGCTTTTAATTCAGGAGAATTATTTATTTCTACTTATTTATTTTCTATACTAACACCGGTATAGAGCGTGATGGACATTGAGTGTTTCGTTTTCGGGAACCAACTAAAAGAACGTGTTCAAACTTGTGTTAACGGCAATAAGAGTTTGTATTTTTTATGTTGGATATATTTTCGCAAATGCATCTGCAAGAAATCAATAGCAATTTTATTATTTACTCCTCTTCTGGATTCCTCCTGCATCAGTTATCTATAAACGAAACTTGTCGACGTTTCTTCGTCTGATTCGACTGATTCAAATATTGATGAAAGGTAAAAATCTGAGTCCCGGTTAAGAATGTTCTCATTACATGCAAGAATTTCAGTTTCATCGAATAAGATTTGAAGTCCGGTTTCATGATTATGTTCGGCAACTGCTGTTGAGTTTATTTCTAGCTCTTTTATATTCTTCAAGCCTAGTTGATATTTTCCGTCCGGTCTCTTTGCCGCATGTGCATTGAGTGCTGTATACTCCTATCGAAGATGTTGAGAGATTTTTAGGCAGGTGGTAAATCTGGTCTTGACGATATACGTCAGAGAATGACTCAATTAAAGGTCTGATTTTCTATTGATTGGAATATCTCATAACGGGAGATTATTATTAGTGTCTAATTCAATGGTAAAACCTATATTAGGATGTATATAGTTTAATTGGCTAAGAAAATCTAGTAGGGATTCTTGATCATGAGGCCAAGTAACAAAAGTAACATCGATGTAACGTTTGTTCACAAATTTGACCGTTATAGGAAAAAATAACTTCCAGACAATCATTTTTGAAATAGGATGAGATGGTTTGGTTCCATATGCTCGGATTTTAGTATATCTGAAATAATGTCGAAAGTTTCAGGAATAGGCACTTTGATAAAGAGGGATTCTACGTCCAAACTAACTAGAATATCCTGTGGATCTAATGTAATGCTTTTTAATTGATCGATGAGCCAAACCAAACCCAACAATCTTAACTTCAGTAAAATTCCGTTTGAGAAACCAGGAGTTTACAGAATTCCATGCATATGCGGCAAAGAACACATTGGAAAGACCGGTCGAAAAATATCAACTAGGCAGTTGCCGAACACAATCAGGAAACCGGAGATCAAATTTTATTCTACACAAATAAAATTTTTGCATGTAATCAATTGTTCTACTAGAATCTATAGAAATCTATAAGCAACCAACTAATCTTAATGCTACTCAGGCACCACCAATATGGAAATCGGTCATTCAAAGAGTACATAATGAGGTACAGAGTAGAATGCCAACAGGATGATTGGCGAAACATCAGCAGAGGGAATCCAGAAGTTTTGTAAATAGCATTGCAGTAGTCTGTGGAAGTTCCTTTGAAAAATTCTCAAAACTATAGCTATCCATGCCGGAATTACCCTACGTAATAATCACTTTTTCTTCCTACCAGATCAAATGCCATCGAAACGCGACGAGGACAAACTCGAAGAGCGACACGTGAGTTTCGACTGCGGCCGCACATCTTCAGACTTTATCGCGAGAAGCAGGTCGCTGTCTCAGGGCAAACGGACGGATAGAACATTATGTCGTAGTTCGAGATCATTGCAGGACGATGGCACCGGCGTAGCGACTGACTCGGAGGTATGGAAAAACTTTTTTGCCGCGTATCCGCGAATCGAATTTTCTCGTGAATGGCTTCGGTGTTCGCGATATCTATCCAGAGCGAGTTGGGTTTCAAGTTCGGCACGCCATTGTTCGCGGTGCCTGTTGTTTTCGCCGTTTATTCAGAACGGAGAGCATTTAACGCATCTAACTTCGTTACGAACTGAATGCCACATTAAGGCCGGGACACGACAATAGTCAGAAAATCTCGCGTTTTCCGTCGTCCGTTGAACGGCACCACCTTTTTAATGGAATGATAAGGCACTATATGGGCGAAACAAAAAATCTACCTGCTGCTCCTTTCTGGTCGTATTGTTTTACCATCATTTTATGAAAAAATATAAAATTAGGCACAATAATAACACAGGTCTACACAATTAAACTTTTTGGCAGATGTTTTTATTTTGAAAACTGATTTTATATCATTCTGGTATTCCGACATAAGTTTAAATTACGTATATCATTTCGAAAACAAACTTTGTTGTACAGGTAAGGCGGCGATTTTATTAATTTTGTAGAAAAAGGTTGCGGCATGGAACCTATAACTGTTAAATATACATAGCCAACAATATTTTTTTAGATAAGGTGTTATGTGGTCTCTGCGACTCACTCAAACGATGACGTTGACTGTCGATTAACTTTAAACTACTATAACAAGTTCTGAGTTTACTTTTCACATGTTCCCAGAATTTTAGTTTTGAGACTAGAATTTAGCCCTGACTCTGGCAGAAGTCTATAAATGGTAAGGTTAGGTTATTAATTTTGATTTCAATATTCCTTCGTACATGATTAATCTGCTCGTCGTTACCAAACTTTAAGCAATGAACCATAAGCTAAGCCAAAGAACTTGTTCAAGTCATAATTAATCCTCTCCTCTGCTGTCTGCAGATCTGCATCGTCAAAAGAATGATAGAAATGGGTGTAATCAGCGTAAAGGTCATATTTACCATATTTTAAACATTTACAAAATTGAGAAGTAACGATTGTGAACAGCAAAGGACTCAAAATACTTCCTTGTGGGATTCCCATTTGAACATTTACGGAATCAGATATCGGCCCATTATGAAAATCACCTGATGAGTTCTGTCGCACAAAAAGGAGCAAATGAACCTACAGTATTCATCACTCATTCTAGTTTAATGCAAAATAGCGAACCGAATTTTATGATTAATGATATCAAATGCTTTACTAACGTCTAACGATAGGACAGCTGTCACAGGCTTGAAACACGTAATCCAAAACATCCGACAGCGCACTCCCGCAACTGTACCCGAACTAATTGGCAAATGTTTGAGAGGCAAAATATTATTTCCATCTAGGAATACTTTCAACTGCTTTGCTAAAACTTTTTCTAAGACTTTAGAGAGAGTGGGCAAAACATTGGTAGATCGCAGGTGAGAGTACTCCGTTATGCTCTACTTTCGGCAATGCTCCACTCGCATAAAATTCTTAAAAGTAGAACTGAAAAATTTTTCCTTAAAAAACTTGAATTACGTAATCGCTTTTTGAACTTTACATGTGAACACCTTAAAAAGAGATTTAAGGATTATCTGTTCCTTAAGAGCTGAGTTTTGGGCTTTCTTGATAATTAGTTGCTTAAAAACACAGATCTACAAAATTAAACTTTTTGACAGATGTTTTTATCTTCAACACTGATTTTATATAATTTTAGCGTGCTAATTTAAAAAAATTATATGCATTTATTTGTATCACGTGCAAATATTAAAGGAATAAAACGATATTTCTAAAATAATTTATTTTTTGATTCGGTAAAAAAATGCATTACTAGTTAAAAAAGAAAGTGCAAAAAAAACTTTACTCAGACTTTTTGAGTGAAATCTTGGTCCGAACATTCAGCTGTTTCTTTTTAAGATCATTTTCCGTTTTAACATTCAGCAGCAGTCCGCCATCATCATTATGATCCATCTCTCTCGGTATAGCCGCTCCATTTCCTTAATATCCTGGTGGAACCTCTCTCCCTGTTCTTCGCTGACTGCTCCAAGATTTTCATGAAAATAGTTCAAGTGTGAAAACAGGAAATGCACTTTCAAACTCATATTAAAACGTAGACGATGAAAGTGTTGTAACATGTTTTGAACAATACTTTGGTAGTTTTCGTCCTTAGGGTTCCCAAGAAACTTATCTTATCTTATCTGCTGCGATTTCTCTGATTCTGACGACATGACGCTTTGCAGTTCTTTTGGAGCGGTACATCTAGTCCATGCGAAAGTGATTGAGTAGCAGAGTGAAGATTAGGATACACAATTTGCTTCTTACTTTTTTTGTTGAATTCTTGAACATTACACGTACAAAAATTACAACAAACATTGTGCAAGTTTAAACATTGCGTCCTACCTTTTTGTCACTTTCTTAATGCTTCAAAGCAAACGGAACAAATGGTATGAGTAGCCCAGGACTTGTATTGGTCGCCAATTTTTCACCAAAATAAGCGTGGTATACATTTTTCACAAAATAAGTTATAGTTTGCCTTTGCTTTATTACGACATAGCTACCACAGATTATAACAAAAGTTATTTGGATTGTTACACAATGTCTTCTCTCCATATTTATACGTTCTGGAATACTAGAAATACGTAACAACGAAGACAACAGCCGTGAATACAGTAGTACGATCACCAACACAACTAAACTGCGCATAAGCAGGTTACAACTCTGTATTGACGCTTCAGCGCCAACTCTATTGCTTTGCAGAGAAGTCTAATTTTATCCAGTGTTGCCAAATCACATTAAATTTCATAAAAATGATATCATTTAAAAATCATGCCTAACATGGAACAAACATATTGCTGTCATAGGTATGTATATTAATAAAATATCATTTTTATGATACATAACGCTATAAAAAAATCACTGTAGACCTGTGTAATTATTTTATTCCAAGAAAAAATACAAAATTTTGCAATTTTACATAGAAATGGAAATTACCGGCGTTAAAAATATTTTAAGAAAAATTTCAGGTAGCATATTTTTACTTTCTTGGATATATTGACTCAACAAACTATAGCTAGCAACTCAACTTAATTTGTTGTTAACGTTTATAAGGCACCACAATGTTTTCTGAATGATATTGACGTTCCAAACTAATTCGCAAATGAAAAATCTTTGCGAATTGAAAATTAACTCATCAACACTATCAGGGCAGAAGAAAAAAAGGCGTGGACTGAAAAGGCAATTTGAGAAATGTGTTTTTTTTTGCAAAAAAATAATTAAAAAAGATAACTTTTTGGATTAATCTTAATTCAAAGCAATCTAAAATAAATTTTATTTACTTTATCTCGAAACCTATGAGTGTTATAAAAAAAGTTCGAATACACACGTTGTTTCCAGTAAAATTATTTTTTTTGTATTATTTCAATTATTCAACATCTATATACCGGTATCCAATGCGTTATTATCGAATTTCTTCGGGATTCAGGTTATGTTGAAAAGATTTTTATTTTTTAAAAAATAATACATTCTCTCAGACATTATACAAAATTGAAATATTGTTATCAAATACGCGATGTTCCAGTGTTTCGTAAAATGTTTATTCTCTCAATTGTTGTAAATCAAACGCCCTGTATATTTTTGGATTGTCATATATGCTTTTAAAAGAGAAATCCAACGATATACATGATAATATTTTTTTATGAAGTTGCTTGTTATTTCAAAAACCGTTAATATTATAAAAAAATCATTTAAATTTAATTTAATTAATTTTAATTTGTAAATTTGAGACAAATATAAAAGTAACAACGGTATTTTTGGAGGCAATATTTGATGAAGAAAATTTGACAGCAGCAGAAGTATTTTTTATATGGAAATTTTAGACAATGGATTGGACAGAATGTCCAGCAAGGAGCTCGGATTTAAACCCACTGGACTTCAGGAGGCAAGCAACCAATTAAATGCTACCAACTATGCCATAAATCATTTGGAGGGAATATATATGACTTGGATTACTCAAAATGGGGGACATGTAGAAAATTTAATATAAAATTATTAATTTTAATTTTTGGAAAGGTTTGTCAAATGTTACTGTTTTAAAAATTAAATAATCTATAATTTTTTCAATATTTTAAATAAATGATTATCGATACAGCTATTACATAAAAAAATATTATAAACGCTTTCAGAATTAGGGTTAATATATAAGTAACAGTATATAAGTATTGCGAAACATTGCAACATCGCAAATTTGATAAATATACTGAATATTGCCTGAGAAAAAGTATTACTTTCTAAAATTTCTTAGCTAGAAGAATGTTTCAAAAGTTGATATGCAACGTAACAGTTCTTATTTTTATAGGGTATTTAAAAATGTAATAAAATATAGGGTGCTCAAATTAAAAATATGACTATATTTGACGACCTTCTATGTAATTGAGTGTCAATTAAAATAATAAAAAAAAATTTTACTGGAAACAACTTTTTTATACAAACTTTTCTTATGACCATCATAGATTTAGAGATAATATATGGGACTCTCTTAAACCGGCCACTCTGTATATAAAAATACACTAGGACTGACTCGTACGCAAATAGGCAAGTAGGTATAGCATGCAATAAATTTGAAAAATGCCATTTTTGTCACGAGTTTGTTTCGGCAAGAGCCTTAGCGAACGTGTTGCATAGTATACTTTTTCTACGATCATTAGTTTTTGGTATAAAAATAGTATATTATACAACAAATGTGGTAAACGGCATTTGATTCACGAGTTTATTTGGCAAGAGTTATTATTTCATAAATTTTGTACATATACCTTACAGCCTGCAGACACTATTTAATTTGAAGATAATAAGAAGATAACTGTTAATTGTGTGGCACTACGTAGATATTAGTTGCATAACCATGAAATTTGCTGAAATCGCCCTGAGAGGAGCAAATATACTCTTTCCACATGTTGTAAACATTTTTTTCAACAATCGGATTAAATTTCACAGCTTGCAAAATAATAAATTAAATCGACAATACGTCA